CCTGGGGTTTGGGGGGGGGCCCCCCCCCCTTCGGCCCCCCCCCCCCCCAACCCTTCCTATCTCAACTCTCTCAGATCTCTGGACACTAACACCCCCTAGAGTAGATCCCAGTCTATGCACCCACTGAGATCGGAAGCACAATATAATTTCGCCAGTAGACACTACCGCAGTGTCATCGTACGCCTAACTACCAGTAATAAAAAAAAGGGGGGGGGGGGGGCTAGATTCTGAAATCGTATTTTTAAAATTTAAGCCATCAAACATACATAAATCGATTGTCACCCTTACCAAACTGTGTTGAATCGACGCCAAAAGATTTCTGTTGGCTTTTGCTTCAAAATTTTAGCAATCGATCAAAGATTTCCTCCAATTTTCAATCATTCACATAAATAAATAAATAATTAATTCATTTTCTGCCCACTTCCTGTTATAATGAGCAGGTCCGAGGAAAATTCATACATTTTGGAAATATTTTTTTCATTTATTTTGAAACAATTTAGTATTTTCTGTTATTCTTTGGGGTGAAAATGAAGCATACATTTTGTGTGAAAAGTAGAAATAATTTGTATCGAGAACATTCAAAATTATTTTTGTCTTACCGGAAACTTACTGCGAGACTTTAAATTCCAGTATGGCTGACAACGAAGGTAAACAAAATTTCTCTCTTTGTAAATATCACGTCTGCAATGTGTATTTCTTACCTGCAAATAAAATAAATGAGGTATTTCGCAAGATGTATGAATGGTGGAACCCTTGCACCTAATTAAATTGGTTTTCTGGGCCATCGTTACAAATTGTGCTAAAAAGCAATCTGTAGATTTGTTGTTGTGCCTTTCGAATTCTTTGCCCCCCTCCACTCATTTTTAACCATTTAATTCATTATTGTATGGGGTACAAGATCGTCCATGGAAGCCATGCATGGCTAAGGTCTACAGATTGATAAGCCTGCTGTCATCATCATAACCTTATTGTAACTGTAGACAAGACAGCATTCAGTCATTCACTTGTTTTTCCTTGAGCAATGATTCTGCTCATGCATACCCGAAAATCAACACAATAGGGAAATCTTAGTAGGAGGTCATTGTTAATAAATACTTAAAAAATAATCAGAAAGTTTTATCAACGTCTGTTTGATGGGCTCAATGAAGCCAGCCCAGTAAATAATTTATACTGATAAATGGCAGCAACTTCAGGGAGGTCCTCAGGGAATTCTTAAACTCAGACCAAGTTTTCATTGAATATTTCATGTATTTCTCTACTTGATAAGCTACAACTCTCCTTGAAACATGATATGAATATGGTAATGATTTCTTTTCCTTTCTTGAATTGATTGAATGAAAAATACCTTTTTTTGTAAAAAGGTTAAGTCAACTCTATATCCTTGTAGCCCAGGGTTCAATTTAAGCAACTTGTATTATAATATTATATTGCAGTTTGCTAGTTAATATCCCTTTTTGCAATCCAATTCTCTTTTTGATTAGCTAAAATAAAAGTCTATCATAGGCAAAGCATGAGATATTAAAAAATAGAGAAAATAGACCATAATGAACCCCTAATGCAGCCAAAGATAAACTATATTTATTTTGGCATCAATCTTGTTATCACAACTTCCAATAAATATTGATTTTTTTAAATCTAATAATACTAATGGACATTGATTATTTTTTCTTTTCATCTTTACTTGACTGATGATAATATTGACTGAAATTATAAATTTATCTCAGGCATCATACCAGCATCACAATTAAAACTTAGAATTGTGTCTAGTCTACCTACAATTAAATAAAAACATACTATCTAAAGCCTGGAAATGACAGCTTCTTTGATAACAAAATTCTCTTAAAAGTTTCTCAAATCGACATTCAGATGATGTGAATTTCACTAGGGAATTAATTTATATATAAACTATTTTAGTGCTGGTAGACTCATATTTAGATTGCCTGCACTAAATAGTTTAAAAAAAATTTCTCTTAAACATAACTTGTGTAGCTTTGTCCAATAGCTATTGTATATAGACAGTGAATATTGTAACATAGTGTCAAAAACTCTCAAGGCTTTTACAACAAGAAATAAGTCAGAATGATTTACTGACCGACTTTTACTTTCATTCAACAGTCAAATCTAGGTGACTCAGTATTGACTTATTTAGTCAATCAAATATAACCTTTACTTTGACAAGTTTCTTAAATCTGTGTCTCTTTCAATAAGTCAGTCAGAGCGTTATTATTCATACTAGTACTTATTCTGTTGCTATTCATTTCTTATCTTCATTCATTGAATGGGACTTTATTCATTCATTCATTCATTCATTCATTCATTCATTCATTCATTCATTCATTCATTCATTCATTCATTCATTCATTCATTCATTCATTCATTCATTCATTCATTCATTCATTCATTCATTCATTCATTCATTCATTCATTCATTCATTCATAATTAAAGTAAGTGAGTATCAGTTATAGGAGATTGAAGTAAATTATTTAACAGTAGAAGATAGAAGGGTGTGTAAAGTGTTTTTATTATATATTTATGTTATGGTTTTAACACCCAGCAACACACAATACACTTGAAATACACTGCTACTAGTATTAACTTATTAATTACACTAGGTGATAGATAAGTCAGGTGATAAGAGAAGACAATACTTGGTTGACTTGCACAAACTAGCATTGGTGAAACAAATACAATAATGCACTTAAACATAGACAAACCAGAAATTTTAATTAAGTACATGTAGCTTATAGTCACCTTACTTACTCAACAATAGTGTTATAAAAGTAAAGAAACCCACATATTAACTTCATCTAATAATATAAAGCCTGATATAAAAGTTTCTACACACAGTTAGTTGTAAATATTGAGTCATACAATGAATAACAATCTAAACTAAAAATAGTCCTTTATAAACACTTGTTTATTTTCTTATCCAATACTATCTTAGTTAGTAAATAATACCAAACATGGTGTGTACTGTATGTAAATAGTAGCTTACAGTTGACCTTACTTACTCGTATAATGAGTTCATTCATTAAACAGATTCAGTAGTTTTATTAAAGATGGGTTCTCTTATTTTTAATTATGAAAATGAAAATGCTAATACTTATATGAATAGAAAGTAGAATCATACGACATTCATTGCAATAGCCAGAGATGTCTGATTGAAAATTAGATTGATACATAATACTGCTATCCTGAAAATTACCCCCATTGAACACTGCGTGGCTTTGATGGTTCTTATCAATATTCATTTTATTTCAGAATATTCAGCTGGTCCAGATGAGAGAAGCCCATGTCCAATATGTGGACGGATGTTTAATCCAAGACCACTGGTAAGATATTGATTTGTCCTTGGTCTTTGCTTTTATGATCTTAATTTGTATATTTTATATTGAGGAAGGTCTGCAACATAGTTAGTTAGAGTATTGGAATCTTTATATGATGTCATATGCTAGGTTACAATGAAGAAACAGTTGTGGTGGGATCTAATCTGGGTCAGTGGTGAACTTGAATAAATCATTTTTCCTCCAATTGCAGCAAATCCACAAGAAATCATGTGCCAAGTTGACTAATAAACCTCGGAAAGTGTTTGATTCAACCAAACAAAGAGCTGCAGGAACTGAGATCTCTTATAAACAGATGAAGACAGCCCAGAAAAAGGTAAAAAGCAGTGTTTCTTTCTAGGAAAGGACTTCTAGTACTTTAATCCTTTAGCAACATTCCAATACTTTGTATGCACCAACCAAACTTGGAGAATTCCTTCTTTATTTGACCCCTTCCTTTCTAAATGAATACCTATACTGAACTACCATTTTCTGTCAGAAGTCTGTGGTTCTTGAAACATATCATTATAAAGTCTCTTAGTTTTAGTGGAATTTCAGCACTCCCAGGCGTCTGATTGACACATTGATGCTATCAGTGTCTTCAATATATGATTACAAAAAGTTATTTTCAATCTAGGTTGTGGCACCACCTAAAAGTAACTGGAGAGCTCAACATGAAGATTTTGTAAATACTGTACGGGCTGCTAGAGGGGTGACTGAGGCTATGAAATCAGGAAAACCTCTCCCCCCTCCCCCACCAGCTTCTATTAATCCTGGTAAGTCATACAGAAGTTTATTTTCATCGGTCAGGGATTCTTATCCATCTTTTTTTCATCAATTAACTTTGTTCAACTAGGAGCCGTGTTGGTGCAGCATTTTAAACAATCTGTTCTTCTGAAATAAGACCTAAGAATAATTTCTATTAGATTGTATTTGTGTCACAAGTCACAGAGGTTGGTCTGGATCACAGGAGGGACGTCTTGTGTGTACTTCAAGCTGTATCTTGTAGTATTTTATGAAGCTGCTTTGTTAAAAATTTCAACATCAAATGATGCATCAGTTGTCCGAAATAAGCTACAGAGAGATGAAGCATTATATCAGCATTATGAGACTATATCTAGTGTCCCCGTTAAAGTTGGCAACATTGTACACTGCATCATTAGACCACTATAATACTGTAAGCTTAGAGAACTAGGATATTATGTTATTTTGTTATTGAAGTCTATATCAAGTGTCCCTGTTAAATTTTCTAACCTGTACGCAGCTTACCATGTTTTGTTATTGTAGACTATATCCAGTGTCCGTACTGTGAGAGACGCTTCAATTCCAAGGCAGCTGAGAGACATATTGGATTCTGTAAAGAACAACATGCTAGAAAGGGAAATAAACCTAATGCCATTGCTAAAAAACCTCCTTCATCTAGGGTAAGTATGATACGTTGGATACGTTTGAATGTGAGAAAAATCTTGCTTCAAATGGTGTCTTAAAATAGTAAAATCTCTGATGCCCAAGTTTTAAAGAATTCAAATCATAATGTTCAATTTTCAATCCCTATAACTAAGTCCATGGTTTGACATTGATTTCAGATGCAACCCCCTAAAGCTGGTATGGCCAAACCTTCACCAACTGGTCCCCCTGGTGGTAATAGAGCCCCAGCCTCTAGGATTCCTGGAACTACTCCTGCTAGAACTCCAGGCAGTACTGGCACCCCTGGTAGAACTCCTGGCACCACTGGCACCCCTGGAAGAACACCTACCACTTCTGCTGGCAGAGGTAAACACTTTAAAATATAAATTCAGAATGACTAACCTGGTAAATCCACTTACATCTGTGGGTGTGCATTCAAATCTTTGCTTTCCAGTCGATACAATGGCTAGATATTGATAATCTTCATAAATCTTCTAGTTTTATTGGACTTGCAGGAACCACAGACATCTGACTAAAGATGACGCAAATTGATGCTATGAGTGTCCTAGTGATACACATACAAATTTTAGAAAACATCTTTCCAATTCCTTATTTGGTATCGACTATGATAAATGTTTATATTTGTAGGAACTGCTGCTAGAGGTAGAGGAGCTCCAACAGTAAGTTGATAATTATATATCTATTTCTATATTGAGATATTTCAGGGTTGTATTTCTAGCTCTGCATGAGGTGTGGCTATTTTTTAGGGATGTCTTGATGTGTGTATTTTATATATTTTGTGAGATTTTGTTAATCTTTTGCTTTCTGAACTTTCAAACGTCCATTTTGTGCCCATTCTTTGAACAATTGGAAATTAATTTTAACAGCAAAAGGGGACTATAACCCTTTTCAAATTTGAAAGTAGATTTGGTAGTGCTAGCAATAATCACTTATTCACTTTTCATTTCTATTTCTTCTTACTATTATGATTTTAATATCATGGTTTACTATTATTATTAATTTATGTCATGTGTGGGGAAAGAATACTGTATGAAACGAAAGTTAACTTTATTGGAAAATCTTAGTAAGAAGACTATTCTCAAATATCTTCAATATGCAGTTAGATTCTCTTCCATACAGCATTTTTTATTGTGTGCTTTATATTATGTTTGGTCTTTCATTTAATTTTGTATATTCTCACTCAATACTGGAAATAGTGTATCTGACACCCCTGAATTGTGTATGAACTGTTCCGCACATGCATTATTCTCAATCTATACCTTACATTGCTGGAATAGTTCATTTACAATCTTAGGGATGTTACCTACCACCAATCATACTACTTCCAGTTTTGATTATTCACGCCTTTTCTGCACCTTTAGGCTACTGATTATTATGATACTGATCACTATAGCAACGGAAACAACAGTTCGGGTTATGGTCGTTCGTTACGTACTGGGCATAGCCCACTGTTAACAGAAGAAAATGATAAAGCACGACTCAAAAAACTTAGTTATAATAGAACGTCTCCAAGCTTGAATCAAAGGTATATAAAACATGCATGATTTTCATTTTATTAATTCTGTATTTTGGTTCTGTCAACTTTTCTAGCACTATTTTATTTATCTTGTGGTGTTGGGATATGTTCTTTCTTTCAGAAAATGATATACTTCTGATTTTTCATTCTTTTCCCTTATTTGGAAATGTAGTCCATATGTTGGTAAATATTTGTATTGTAAAAATTGAAGCTGATTTTATGTGAAACTCAGGGAAGGTTTGCAGAGTAAATGCTCTCTACTGTTGGAATCGGGCATGATTCTTAGAAACTGATTAAGATACTACTGAAGAAGATACAGCCATGATGATCATCGGCCATGATTAAACTACATATAGAGCTCGATTCACAAATATTAACACCACTTGTCTTAACATATTTCTGTTTGAATTCACTAGAAAAAAACTGGCATCCCCATCGCAGTAAGTACTCCTTGAACTTAGCCCTGTGTTTCAGGGTTACAGGTATTGGTGGTGGGATATGCATGTAGGGGAGGGGCCCAAGGGCACTTGGACTAAGGGGCAGAATATCTGTTAGTAAGGATGAATAGTAAAGGATTGAGAATTAACACCCAGAAGATCGAAAGCATGCTTCTATATATAACCAATGATGGAAATTACATTGCCTAAAGACTTGCTTAACAACATTGTCAAAGTTATTTGATGAATAGATATTGATATTGTGGTGTTCTGTGTATATGTGTTGGTACAGCTTCTGTGATATTCTTGTCTGTTCAATATTGTTTGTAACGAGGTTTTCAAGACACGCCTTGATAATTGAGACTGAAAGGACTTGATGAAACATAATAGGATTTAATGTAATTCAAGACTCTTAATTAGCTAAGGAACGACTTGACAAAACTTGTTACGACTGAAACTTTTCAAGTATGTACGACCTTGCGTTCACAAGAGTTAACAAAGCTTATTATTACTTTTATATGTTGGTGCATTAACTCATAAGTTCGGCAATGTTTTAGATGATATTGAACGTTGATGTGGTATTTTCATCATTATAATGTTCTAGAAATGATTAGAAACCTTCCTTCCTTCCCTCCTTCCTTCCTTGCTTATATTAACAATGGTCTTGTCTGGCATTCCCTCTCTGTCTCAACTTTCTTCTTGCTTAGTTAACTATACTAAAACTTAATCCCTTTTTAACTCAAATTCAAGTGTTCCAGTCATCTGATTGGTTAATCACTGTAATTAATTTTAAATTTGGTTTTATCATCCAATCAGATTAGTGTATTCTTTAAAATACTTTTAGTTTTCGAGGTCCTTGTTCAATGTTTGAGTAGTATGTTACCCAGAAAAGGGTGGGTACGCATTAAAGACAGTGACCTAACAATTTTTTTGAATTATCCCCATAGGTTCCCAAGCTCCATTTTGTTTTTCTTTTAAAGATTCTGAAAATGATTGATTTTAATATGTTGCTAATGAAATTTTGTTCTTTTTTCAGGGACGGCGCTAATTACTCAGATTCAAGATCTGGTTCTCACTACAGCACCAAGCGTGACTCAGATATTGGTTACCATAGCAACAGTTCAGAAAACGACTTTCACACAACTCCTACTGGCACCCGGTCCAACATGGCAGCCTTGACAACCAAGAGAGGAATGTACGGACAACGGAACGGAATTCCGACTTCTAAATACAATGCTGCAGATTACACAAATTCTTCCCAGACTTCGCGATTTTGTCACGATTGTGGAACCAAGTATCCCGTTGTCACAGCGAAATTTTGCTGTGAATGCGGGATACGAAGGATTGCGCTTACGTGAAGGTTAGGCAGGTCTGCTAATTTGCAATTTTTTGAGGACCAAGTTTTAAGCCTAAGTTTTAAGGCAAAATTCTGTATAAAAAATGCCACTTAGCAGACAGCTGATATTCCAATTCACACAACATTAATCAGAAATGTTTTATTTAACGACAAAATCTATGGTGACAGTGCACACTTCAAAATGTTTATTAAATTCTTGGATAGGTCCTTCTTTGAAAACAAATATAAGTTATATATAATCGTTTGAATCATTAAGAACTATGAAAGAAGTTTGACTTCTTCTATAATCTTCCCAATTTTAACTTTTATCCAAATGAAATCAATTCTATTTTCTAGTCAATTCAAATCATAGAAAGTTTCATTATCTTACAAAATAATCTTGACCTTTATTAGAAGGAAAAGTCTGTCAAAATTATTTGAATTTTGGATTATGCTTATCATTTTCTGGGCACCAGATATCACCTTACTTTGAATCATATTCTAGACTTTGTAAAAATGTCTGAACCTAGCTCAACTTCCCTGTTTTTGAATTTAAAATTTGAATTTGTACAGTAAATTTTATTTTTATATTTAGTTAGCCTTGTGATAATATGATTTTATATTTTAGTTATTAACAATTGCTTTAAATTTATGCAACTAAACCAGCCAAAATTCATTGTTATAGAGCTCTCATATTGCACACAATGTTGTAAATTTGGCAGAGAATGTTGTCTAATGTTTTTATTATTATTTATTATTATATGGGGACCAAATATAACACATTGTCTCAACCTTTGTCCAATTTTACTGATGTTTATTTTATTTCATTACGCATAAATTAATATGATTGTTATATATATATATATATAGAGAGGGACGTACACTGTTGCTATGGTTACCATTATTTAAATATATATATTGACGTGGATTAAGAATTGTGTTATAGTTATATAGTAATTGTTGATTGTAATCACTGTTATCACGTGTGACTAGTACTGTTTTATATCTGTTAGGGTCACAGGCTTGTTTCAATAACTCTTACCCTCAATCTTTTTCATAAATTAGACACTTTAAACAAGATTTTTTGAAACTGTGGCTCTGTTTTATTTAATATCAATCCATAAACCACATCGCAATTCTTTTACAGGTTTTCATAATAGTCTTGGTTTTATCAAATGTGGTTATCTGGCCTTTGTATATCTATCTAACTTGCAACATACAAGCTATGAGTGACTATTGTGAACATGCAATATGTCCTATTTCATTCATTTCATTTCAAATATTATATTTTATTGGAGGAAACGGTTTTATTTAAATATTTTTAGATATTTTTTTAAGGGTTTTAGGTAACGTTATTATTCTATTTTATCAATATTTTGCTCCGTCCATATTATTCTAAGATGCTGAAGATTTTGATTGTGGGTAAATTTCTGGATAAGAGTTATCTATTATGAGAAAGATCTCCCCTCCTATCATCACATGTTTCATATACATTTGACAGGACAGCTAATTTTGGAGGGGGTGATCTAGAGCTCAACTCATGCTGCTGACACATAATTTGGACCAATTCCCATCAGGCCAGAAATAATTGTCTTAGTGGCGGAGCCAGGTTTACTTCCAAGGGGTGCGAAATATCCGAGGTTGCCCAAATTTCTAACCTATTTATGAGATTTTTGCCCGAAAAGCATGCCTTGGGAGCTGAGAGGGGGGCGGGTAACTCCTCTACCCCCCTTTGGCTCCGCCACTGGTCTTAGTTACTAATGCTTCAATACAATATGCCTGGTTTTAAGACAATACATGTAGCCTAGTTATTTGTACCAATCTTTAGGACCAATACTCCATTGTGATTATATAATAAGAGAAAATATTATTTAAATGTGTTTTTAAAACTATCTGTGATAGATTGAGTTTTTACTGGACCTTACATTGCTTCACTATATTCTTTAATTTATTTATGCTTTTATTTATTAAATTATTTATTCCAATTTTATATCGTTGTCTTCTGTTATTTTATTGTTATGGTTTATTGGAATCATTTTATGTATCCACTTGTCAACATTTGATTGCAAGCATCAGTCATTTTTTTGGAGGGCAGGGGGAATGAGCAGGGTGGGACGGCAGAGGGGAGGGGGATAAGCAAGGGGATGGGAGATAGTAGGTCTAGTCCCTCCAATTAATGTTTTGCGCAGAATTTTCTTAAGTCATTGCAAGACAATTCAAATGAGAAAAGTCCTAAAGAGTGGTCAATTTAGACTACAATCAGACATGACTGGTAAATACAGTCAAATCAACAACCCTGTGCGGTTGCCAGTCACTTTTTTGTGAAGAAAAGTTATGGTTTCGTTCATTGTTCAGTTGTCTTTCATGATGGTCTAAGGTAGAAAACTCCTGTTTTCTTATTATTAGTTATTTGTAGTCTTTAGCCAAACAATCGTAGGCTGTTGAAGTGCTTATTGTCTTGTTCTTGATGAATGCGACAAGCGATAGTATGTGTGATAGGCAAGAAATAGACAAATGGACTAGTCTAAGGGGTCTGAGGTGAACACTTGAAAGCACAGACCGTGGCATCAGATTTTTTCATGATATATTGAAGGCGATAGTTGTGCTAATCGGGAGGGGCTACGGCAGTTAGGGACCAGAAAGTCTTCATAATTTAGCAAAAGATGTCCCTGGGTATGTTTTTCTCAGAGAAGATCGTGCCCTCTTCCCGTCCGAACCCCTGGTATGTCTTTATTCACTTCCCAAGTGCGTAGAATCGCTCAGTTTTCATATAGCGCTTCAGTTGTGAATATGGCTAAAGACCACATTAAATTTCATGGTGATAAATCGAGTTGCTCCCCTTAGACCACTTTTCAACGAATAAAAATTCAGACCACATCGCATCGAATCAGTCACGTGATCGCATTAAAAATGGCGTTACATGAAGAAGGGCTTTGTTGTCTGTATTAATTTTAGTTTGACGATTTGCTGCCGTTTAAACTCATTTATAATCGAATCAACCTAAGGTAATTATGAAATCTAATCATTGTGCTCAAAATTCTTCAGTTATTGGTTGCCAAGAACCAGAATTCAGTTTGTAAAGTGCAGTTTATTATTTTGTCAACTTGGCTCGCTTTTTGATTTTGATTTCGTTATGAATTGTGGTGTGGCTAATTTGCCGACCTTCCTTCTGCATATTTTTGACAGCTTTTATTAAATAATCTTGATAGAGGATAGGGCATTGAGTTGGGATATCTTGAGATGATTCGAATGTTCCAGTCAATTAATTGGCAAATTCATTTTTAAATCTAGCCTATAATTAGTCAGTTCCATAAGTTTGTTATCTCAACCAAGAATGTATGATCATTTTTTCCTTCTTTATATTTTGCAGATCTAACAAGATTGTTGAATTATTCATCAAAGTCGACTCAAAAAACCAAGATGTCTGAAGGAATGGAAGGGAAGTGGAATGTTCGATTGAGAAGTAAGGGTATCAAGGTTGATGAACTGGATAAGATAAAAAAGAAACGGATGCCAGTTCCTACTCCAGTGACACGGAAAAAGCCGTCACCACTGAAAGGTTCATCTGACGTAAATGTCACGACCAAAAAGAGAACGCTTAAAACACCAGTAAAGGCTCCAGCTCCTAAGAAAACTGTAAAAGAATTGAAGGAAGAAAAGGTGAAGAATGCACCCAAAACAACAGTTATAAAACAGAAATCGCCAACTAAAGCAAAACCAGTAGAAAAAAAGAAAATGGCTTCTGCTGGAACTGGGACTCAGTCAGATCTTGAAGACGAAGAAGAGCCTGTTCAGGAAAAGCGAGCACCAAGAAAGAAAATGGCTTCTGCCGGAACGGGGACTCAGTCAGATCTTGAAGACGAAGAAGAGCGTGTTCAGGAAAAGCGAGCTCCAAGAAAGAAAATGGCTTCTGCTGGAACAGGAACTCAGTCAGATCTTGAAGACGAAGAAGAGCCTGTTCAGGAAAAGCTTGCTCCAAGAAAGAAAATGGCTTCTGCCGGAACGGGGACTCAATCAGATCTTGAGGAAGAGGAAGAAGACAAACCTGTTCGTGTAAAGCCAGTTATAAGATATAAATTGGCTTCTGCTGGAACAAGGACGCAGTCAGATCTTGAGGAAGAAGAAGAGCCTGTTGAAGAAAAGCAAGCTCCAAAAAAGAAAATGGCTTCTTCTGGAACAGGGACTCAGTCAGATCTAGAGGAAGAGGAAGAAGAGCCACCTCAGAAAAAGAAAATGGCTTCTGCTGGAACGGGGACACAATCAGATCTTGAGGAAGAAGATGAAGACGAAGATGTGGAAATGACAGAATCCAATATGGAGACCATAGATTCAGATGACGAACGTGAAGTGGTAGTCGGGGAGGATGACATGTCAGACTCGGACTCGGAAGTAGAATCGGTACCGGAAGAAGATGTCAAGGACAATTTTGCCGTCAATATCGGACCTGGAATTTCAGACGAAGAAAATAGCGGATCTGTTGCCTCAAGTAAGGGCACAGGAACGGAAACAGTTGGTTCTGAAGATTCAACTGAAACCAATAATTCACCGCCAAAGGGACGACGAGTTCATGTGATCATCAGATCTAAGAATAAAAGGAGACCAATGAAAGAAGAAGGCGGGGAACATGGACCGGATCATCTGTATTCCAATGCTAAAGCTAAATCCATGGGTTGCCAAGCTTTCTTTAAAAATGTCTGCAGCTATTGTGGCAAGCAGTTTAAGATACAGTTTCTCTTAACCCAACATTTACGAACCCATACTGGCATCAAACCGTTTAAATGTAAACAATGCGACAAGAGATATTACTCTGCCAGCTCTTTACGAAACCATCAACAAAAACACAACACAAACGCTGACAGATTTAAATGTGAGATTTGCGAACGACGCTTCGTTTACAAGAATAGTTTAAAACTCCACATTGCTACGCATTCAGAGGAAAAGCCATTCGTGTGTAATATTTGTGGCAAGTCGTTTAAACAGAACGTCACCTTACAAGGGCATTTAGGACAGCACAAAGGAATTAAATACGGCTGCGAATTGTGCGGACAGAAGTTCAAAGAGAGGTCCTCCATTTATCGTCACATGCAGCTTCACACTGGCGTTAAACCATTCCATTGCGAGAAATGCGGGAAGGCGTTCTCTAGAAAAGGAAACCTAAAAGAACATATGTCGATTCACGAGCCTAAAACGGTACAAACTTTGTACAACTGTTCAGCCTGTAATAAACAATACAAGCACAGACCTTCTATTCACAAACATCTACGTGTCTGCAAACTTCAAGAGTCTTTTATGATTATGAAAGAAAATCTGTTGAAAAACGAACCGGCATCTACAAGCGATAATGAAGCTCCTGAAGTTGCTAAAAGTGTTACAGTTCCTGCTATGGCTGCCACCAAGGATCAAGGTTGTTGAGTCGTTTTAATGTAGAGACTGATCAACTTCTAAAGGTACTCTCAAACCATAGTGATCACCAGTTGTGTATAGTTGCGAGTAAGAATAGCGATCATAAGTTTCAAATGCAACTGTCATGTAACTGGGTTGTGACTTGTGTTCAGAACTCATGACCACTTTCATTATTCACAATCATACACTGGTCATCGCTATGGTGTGAGGGCACCTTTAGGATGTGAACTGACTATGAGTGCGTGATTTTACCATCGCATTTATTCTGTTTTGTTTTGAAAAACTGTAAATATTAAGCTAGAATTTTTTATATTCATTGCAATTTATTCTGATATTATCCTTGCTTTTGATGTGAGAATGTGTCATACATAAAAGTATGACATTTTTCATTAAGTTTAACAGGTAAATATGAGAAAATCATTGTTCTTGAGATTTTGTTAACAGACTAATCATGGTGTAAATTATGATGTTTATCAGCTATTAGTTTAAGAGTTTAATCATGCTAGAATTGCTAATCATATTTTGTTGTATAATATATGTTATAATATGTAAATAATGTAATCATTTATGAATTCAGCATGTTCAAATAAGACTGAGAATTTCACTATAATATTTTGAAGCAATAAGCTGTTATCTTTTCTAGGGCTTATTGTTGAATACAATCAAGAGAATGATTATTTTGTATAGAATGATTCATGTTTTTATATTGTTCATTTTTGTTCAATGTTATATTTTGAGCTCCCTTGTTTCATTGGGGAAATAATACATACTAGCCGCTTTATCAACATTTTACACGAGAGAATTGCATGCCAGTTAGAAAGGTATTTTCTACTAGATAATGTTATACAAAGCTTTGTGCTTGACATTTCTGCATTTACATATAAGCATATACCCACTTTTTTCTTACAAGCAAATTGCATTTGTCCAAAAATGAATTGAGTTAAAATGAAATCAGAAAATACTTCATTTTATTTAAAAAAAAAGATCAGTATCAGGCATTTAGATTGCTATGTATTTATGCATTTTATTTGTTGTACAAAGTTAAATTTGTGTTCAATCTATGATGTGAAATCGTGATTATGTTTCAATAAATATTATTCTTCAGTATGAATGTACTAATTCTCTTTCTTCATCCATTATGACATCACTGACATCGACATGTTGCTGTCAAAATCTCAATCCACAATTCCTCAAGGCAACTCATTATTTGGAGCAGACGCAAAACGAGTCCCGTTGTCATTTTCGATCATTCAACGTTGAAATGAATGACAAATTGACAAATATTTTTAATTAAAGCAATATAAATTCGCATTCAATTCCTGCAAAACATATGAATTTTATGTGAAATGGTAGGTCCCCTTGGGTCAATGGAGGTCCTAATTATTTGACTGGACATATCTTGAGCCTGAATATTGCTATCTACCACAAGAGGACTGTTTAAACGGCATTGTTCAAATTGTCCCCCCCCCCCCTCTTATCTTCTGGACTTCTACTTTAATAAGTATAACAAGATGAGGTGAGCGGTATCTACATTTTATTCATCCATCACATATTGAAACCTAGTAAAATACATATCAAATATTCTTAAACAACACAAATTAACTAAATCCATTCCACATTTCCAGTCAGATCAGGGAGAGATTCCCCGTGTTTTTTAACGTAATGTTTTCTCAAACTAGAACGATATGGATAGGCTTTATCACATTTCTCACATTCAAACAGTTTCTCTTTCTTTTCACGAGGTTCGTGTGTTTTACGATGTTCACGCATATTCCCTGCACGAAAAAACAATTTCCCACACACGTCACATTCATGTTCTTTCTGTCCGTTATGAAGTTTTTTATGTCTATATATAGACGTTTGTTCCACGAATGTTTTATCGCAAATTTCACATTTGTATGTTTTTCCTTCGTGGCGCCGTTTGTGTCTAATGAAGTTCGTCAAATAATTAAACGTCTGATCACAAAGATCACAAAAAAACGTTTTTTCTCCGCTGTGGACAGAATAATGTTGTTGTAAACTTGTGGACTGACGATACGCCTTGTCACAAAACTCACACTGGAATCTTTTCGTTTCATCGTGACATTTCACATGATTTTTTAACAATTCCTCTGATTTGTAAGTTTTGTGACAAATATTACATTCATGTGATTCGTTTCCGTGGGATGCCATGTGATTAATGTAACCTTTTTTAGACACAAATGATTTACTACACACTTCACAATTAAATTTTGATATTTTCCTCAGCCCATGTGGTTTCTCCTCCGAAAGGTTTTCATATTGTAATTGAAATTCGGATTTGACTTTTGATAAATCGATATCTTCGTGGCCCTTTATTTCAATAAAACTCGGAACTTCTGATTCTAAAGCTTGCACGTCATCTTCCTCTCTTTCCGACTTGATGATGATTTTTCCATTCTGGACGATAACTTTCGATTCTCGGTCATCCCGGCCTATTAAAGTTTCTCCGTTTGAGTTGATGCATACGTACGTATTTCCATTGGAGATTCCACTCTCTGATAACGGAGCACCATTTGAATTTGAGCTCATTGTCACGTCGTTATTCAAATTTGAGCTCTCTAATTCAACACCATTTGCAACTGAGTGACCAAAATTCAAATTTGAGCCCATAGCACCATTGGTATTCTCAGTATTTGACAACTGGACACCATGCAAATCCCAACTAAGAGAATTTGAGCTCAATGGAGGAACATCATTCGAGCTCAATAACCTGCTGTTTTCATTCCAGATAATAGAGCGACCCTGTCTGTTGAAGCTAGGGGCAGCATGAGGGGTTGAAAAGACTTCTACAGTCACAATCTCTGTATTGGTACCACTGTCATCAAAAACAACATTACTTTCCTGCTGAAGGGTCCCCTCCTCTGGCTGTAATCCAGTGGTATCATTAGTGTCCATGGATTTCTGACACTCCCCTTCCTTCAGTTTTAAAACTTCTTTCTGAAAGATATGAATAGACAACTTCACAGAAAGTTTCAACAATGGTCGATAAGCCTACTCGAGACTAGAATTTGAAATCTTGATCTCAAAACCCAACATCTTGACCTCGAATTATGAAATCTGGCGAAGTAGGCCACTAAATTGAAACACGTTTGTGATGGTGGAGAAAGAAAGAAGGGAATATTTTCCAAATATCCACATAATATATAAAAGAAATACCTTTTCTGCATCTAAAATTGCTCATAAACAGAAATTAACTAACTCGGGAAAGAATTTTACGCCATTTTGAAACATTCCAGATCACGTGATACTTTGAAGTGTCATGTGACTGAAGTGAGGGAAAAAAGGTCCATGGACGGAAGTTCAAAACTTGAATGAAAAGGTTTTCTTGTAAGAAATCCCCTAAAAATTGATGTTTTCTTATCTGTCATCCCTTTTTGACTGTACAGCTGTCTTCAATGATTGTATACGAACATTTTGCTTTGATTGGTAGCCCGAGTTCTTCCTTTCTTTGGGGTATAAAACCACATCTTTGGCTCATCATGTGGCCCCACAGTCACACTGGTAGTAGAGATTAGTAATACTAATAGTGCACCATTGCTGGTTCGCCCCCTACCCCCTTCCCGTTGTGCTATCGATGTGAAAGTTGGCAGAGAGCTACCTAAAGGTGTCCTGAATATTCACTGCAAATTTCAGACAATTCCAACGGATCCAGATTCCCGCAGCTCAGTGCAACTCGTTGAATGATTTCTCGTCCAATCTTTTTAGGTACTGTCAACTATAGGTTCTTTTTTTCAGATTTGATTTGAACAGGTGTTTGATTTCAACCAGTAAAAATGTCCTGCCACCTAATACTAGAAGCTGAAGAGCTGTTAGAATGTCCATATGATAAAACTCACATGATCAGAGCCAAGAGGATGCAGTATCATCTCATAAAATGCCGTCAGGTAAGGTAGGCCTAGGGCAAGGTAGGCCTAGGGCAAAGGCAAGGACATCTTCACAATGTCAAGCTATTAGGAGCCTTGTCTAGATACCTTTACTACAATAGGTCACCTTTCTTGTATCATAATTTGTTATCCCTCAAGATACAGGTTACATGACACATTTTAACTGGTTAGAAATAAGGTCATATGAACGCAACTACGGCGGAAAACTTGTTAGATTACAAGGAAACAAAAGATTCATAGGTGATTGGAAATGAAACAAGAGTAGGCTAATGCAAAATTTCCCTCACCACACTGCATGACGTTACCCATTAAGACCCATCAAGTGCAGAAAATACCATTCATTTCATAAATATATGTTTTATATTTTTCAGAATCATCTAACCAGGGAGTTTGCTACGTGCCCATTTAACGCTACCCATGAAATGCCGACCCCTGAATTAAGATATCACATGGCTAACTGTCCCTTTAGAGATATGGTGGAGAAACAGATAGAATATGGTATTTTTCTTTAGTTTGGGTCATTCTCTAATTGCCACTCAATTGATGGAATCTTGAAAATAATCTTCATTCAACATGGGCATTAGAACAACAAAACATAGTGTTGGCTTCATTGTAGGCCTACACTGCATGATGCTGCCTGTCTTCACAATCGTTATGTTCAACTGGTGTTTCAGTAATTTTCTAGGCAAAATTTCCCTCATTGTACACTGCATTGACTTTGTTAGTTCTCATTGAGTCGACCTGGCTGCATGATTTCGAAATGATATTGGCGCTAGGATGTCAAAACCGTCATTCTAGGATATCCTAGCGCCAAGATCGTTTAGAGAATATATGGTCAGAGCAGTAATAGTAGGATGTTAAAGTCTATTTTATTATATTTCAGATGAAACACGTAGAAATGGATTAAAGTTAACATTAAAAGGTTGTACAGACGTACCGCCCTACAACGCTGTTGAAATAGAGGCTGAGGAGAATTGGGATGCAGGTACAGTCTGGGGCCAGTTGTCATGGGGATAGGGAAAGGGTGTTGTTGAATAATAAGACATTTGTAATGAATCACCTCTGCAAAATATAAAAAATCAGCCTGTTTTGAAAATGTCTTTATAAATTGACTGTGGAAAATGTTTCTCAGAATTTTACATGTTCACGAAATTAGAATCCACATCTGTTTTTGTTTTATTTTAGAAATACCTCTTCACACCCGGATGGGAGTTGATCAAAGTTTTTTTGACAATCTACAATACAGAGATACGTCTATGTAAGTAGTCTACATATTGTCTGCATTTCACATGATAAAAGAATGGCGTGTAACCCCTCTGGAAAATTTTTGGAGCCCCTGCTCGACTCCTTCACCTAATGTGTCCTAGAAAATCCACTAAACGGTAAGACATTAGAATACTTTTTAACTTTTAATAATATATATTTAATTGTTTATATACAGGATGCAGAAAGCTGCTAGAAAGGAGTACTACCAGAAACTACAGAATAAGGCAAGAGGCCTCGAGTAAGTTTAAATATTATGGAAAATTTATAAGGAGTGCTTGCACTAACAAAATAGAGCCCTGTGCCAGTCCCTTCAGTTGTATAGTAACTTGTTATCTTTCAACCAAGCTAATCTCTTTATTTCATTTCATATCTATATTAACTTTAAGGCAACAGCAGGAAGCAGTAGAACAATTTATAAGTTTATTGACCACAGAACATGTAACCAGTGTCTGTCAGGTTTTTATTTCTTATTTCTTTCCGTATTGTTGTCTTCCAGTTTGTTCACTCCCCTAAATTGTTATTTTTGTGTTATTTTAGGGAACCTAGTAAGAAGATAGAGAATCCAGGGTTGCGATTACCCAACCAGAAATCAAAGGCAGCTCAGATGCATCAAGAAAGTTCTAAACCTCATTCTCTAGATGTATTTAAATATTCTTTATTACAAGCTGGTATAGGCCGAGGTCGTGTGTGTAAGTATTTCACTGTTAGTTTAATTGTTTGCTAGCCTGCCGTATGTCTGTTTTAATTGTAATTTTTTAGTGCTTGCCGGCCTGCCTCGCGTTTGCTTTTAATTGTTCTGCCTTGCGTTCTGTTTGAATTGTAATTTTTAAGTGCTTGCTAGCCTGCCTCGTGTTTGCTTTTAATTGCTTACTTTAATTGTCCTGCCTTGCGTAAATATAACTGTTTTCATGTACAATTACCTTATTGTACAACCAGTTCACAAAACCTTTCGTCTTGCCTTCAGTTACCTAAAGACATGTCGTTTACAAGGAAAAGCTACGGAACGTGTTGAGTTTTATACGCTCGTTTTTTGTTTTATTACAGTATCAGAACAGAGTGTTACCAGGCCAGGGAAGACAATATCAAACGGGTTGCCTAGTAACAGTCATTCTGTCAATACTGGAGGTCAGTGATTTTTCAGCTATCACATACTTATACCTTGACTGCAAAAACTACCTTTCTTGAATCACAGAATGCAGCAAATTGATTGGATTGTAGGCTAGCAAATACAGCCAATTTGCTTAACAGAAAGTCTGTGAACACAAGGGATAACATGAACAAATTAGTGGTGCTTGCTTCGTAAGTTGTAGGAAGTAAAAACTCTGTTTCGTTTCAGTAAAGAAAGAGAAGACTGAATAAAGATGACTACAATGAGTAAGTATTATTAACTAACGCGTTGAGGGCTGACAGCGAGCCAACTTTCGAAAGCACTGGCCAGGGCTTCAGAATTTTTCTTAGTGACACCAAATTTATGAGATTATAAACTATAGACTGCTAGACAAGTGTTGAGTTATTCTTTGTTCCAATGTTGTAGAGCCAACACTGAGCCAACTTTTGGAAGCAAAAGGGATATCCACACTGCATTCAGACTCTTGAAAGCACCGGTCATGGACTTAAAATTTTCCCAAGGGAAGTTATTTAAGAGTTATTTCTGCCTCATGGACCTTTGTCAGTTTTGATAAAACTGTGGTATTTTTTCAGTTAATTTGAAAGCGTTAAGGGATATCTGCACTGCATTCAGTTAAAATCCAACACTGCCGACTGGTGGAAGCACCAGTCATGGCCTTAAATTTTGTCTATGGAAAGTTGTTCTTGGAGATGGTTCTGCTCATGGACCTTTCTCTGATTTAATAAAACTTCAATATTTTTTCAGGTAATCTGAAAGCTTTAAGTTATTATGATTTTTGTTTTGTTTTGGTAAGTTAAAACATCTTTTATCAGACGTTTATGAAGCTGAATTGAAGTTACTTGGAAGGTTAAAATCTTAAATCTTCATATATTTTAAAGAAAATAAAAACAGCTAATATAAATATTTTTTCTGTTGATAGTTAATTGTATGACATATTTTATTTATTTTCAGAGAAAGAGTGATGTAGTCAAGAAGACTTCAATATATTTTTGATATTGTGATAAAGACTGTACAATGTGTGATGTATTCAGGAAGTCATGATGACGCTTTCGTCCGTTTAAATTATGCCCTTGATCGAACTTTACGGAAGCGGATATGACATATTCAAAATGTGCCCATCCATTTCCTTCTCTGCCATTTTGAATTCTGTCTACACCTATTATTTTTTCGGCACACATTGAAAGCATTCTAAACTCTGTTACAACTTGTTTTATTGAATGTTTCATGATTCCATAAATCCCGAAAGTGCGGAAGTTACCAGTCGAGCGACCCCCAAATGTGCCAAATGGATTCTATACTGTTTACTTGATAAAATGCTGATATTGTTTCCTGTATTAGATTATGGTGGTTATTTCAATGTATTGTCAGAAATCTTGACAACCGTTTCATTTTGTTTTGATAAAAATGTACATAATTTAGGCTGTTTCTTTTAAATGTTGGGAACTGCAATAGCTCAGTGAGTTAGACACATGAAGGTTTGGGTTACAATTCCATTAAGGGATCTTTAACGTGCACAGCCTGTAGCATAAAGGGAAGAATCATACAGACTGTCAAAGACTGACAGCATGGTGCTGAATGGTAGAGATGCTTGTTCAGAAAGACCGTGAAGGATAGTGAGATTTTAATATTAATTATTATAATACAAACAAATATTATAGAGAATCTTAATCATTATTCATATACAAACTAACTAAGACATACTAAATATTTATAAATATGGCTAGCCAGTAGATATCTGTCTCTTAGTCCACATGGTTTATGTTACTGTACTGTTCCTGTGGGGAGTGGGTCTATTGAAAGCAGGGCGTGCCTCGACAACTATGCATGGCAGAGGAGCAAGTTATTGTCCTCTCAGACGTACACTTGTCTTCCCTCAGCAAATCATTCAACTGAATTTCAACATTTTTGTGCGGAGTGCCTCTAACAAAGGCAGAGTGCCAACTACTCAGCATGGCGTAGAGAGGGAGTAATGGTCCTCTTTCACCCCCTACACTTCAAATTCCTTAGCCCACATAGTTTATGCTACATCACATTACATTTACCATTAAATATATAACAGAAAAAAAAAACAAACAACTTTTCAAAGTCTTTTGATATTTTACATAACAAAACTAAGAAATAGAAAGCTGTGTTGTACTTCCAGACTCACAAAATTTTCTCCCATCCAAATGTAACACGACAAAAAATAGACAACATTAAAAATATTTTCAAGATTAAATAACAGTTGGTATACTACAGAATGAATTATCATTCAAAATGTCTTCCAAACACAGGAAAATCCTTTATGGTCCTAAGTAATTCCTAAGAAATACTTCTACACGTCTTGGTCAGATCAAATTAGACACGATCAGTTCACTTTATCTTAAGGTAGTGTAAATAGTAATGAACAGAACATAAATGTAACTTCAGTAGTTAAATTACTACTTATTCTACCGCAATATAAAATAGACTGGTCGTGTTAATGTTCAAATTGTCCCAGTATGTATGGAATTAACTTGGCTCGACTATTTTGCTATATAAAGTCTAATATACACACAGGTTTTTCTCAACTTGTTTAACAAGTCCGTCAACTCAACATGTAGTTCCACTTGGTTTAAAGATTCAAGCTTTGCGACAAGTTCAACTTTCGCCACTGTTCAAAGACGAATATTTACAGAAACTGTGATAGTCTTTTTTTACGAGTGGTCTATAGTGAAGAGTTAGGTCCCCTGATTGTTTCCAGATGAAATGTTTCACCGTTCGTAAATCCATGTTCGGGTCCAAAATCTGGAAAATAAAAGAGAATAATTAGTTGGCAAAGCTGGGCTTTTTTTCTGAAATTATATGAAATGAAGGGAGTATGTCCTACTTTTCTGCACCTAATTGGCCTTACAGTGTGCAATGAGGGAAATTTTGCCAGGACAGCAGCATTAGCCTACTCTTTTTTGATCTCCAACTGTCGAGGAATCTTTGAAAACACTGCAAAAATTTCTCCAAAGAAAAAAAGCTTCAAGTACCTGATCATTGCACATTAATTCAACGCGTTCTTCAGCAACGGTGGTCAAATCATCTTCCTTATCTTGTCCATTACTATTGGCCGTCTGTGACCCTGCATCTGACCCTTGACCTAACACCTTCTCATACACATGCTCGATAACCTTTCGAACTTGTATCATGTCACTGGCAGACAATCGGTCTCTGTAAAAGATAATAAGGGAATATAAAATGGCGTTGTAAAACTAATTATATGATATATATACCAATTCTTTAATCATGATCTTTAACGTAAAATGAATTGAGGGAAAAACTTAATTAATCATCGAAAAAGAGAAGTAGACAACTGGTAATCGCTATGGTGTGAGGGCACCTTTATATCCAAAATCTTCTGCAGTATGAGAAAGAGAAAATATAAATTTCAATCTTACTTTTTAACAGGTTTTATACCAGTACTGGGATGAGGTTGTAAGAAAAATGGTATCTTGTTGAATTTGGGCATATTTTTCTGAAAAATAAGTCACATAATCTATATTTCTAAATGTTAATATCAAAAATAAAATTTAAACGACATTTTGAAGCCGATCGCTCATATAACAAACAAAAACCCACAGAAATTGATAATGGTAGGCCTGGTAGGACTGGACTGCTCGTAAATTTGCTTTAAGCTAGACCCAAATATGCAAAAATAACATTGCTTGAAATATGTCAGTAAAAAAAAAATTATTCTTACGTTAACAACAACTTCAACAACCCATGACGGTACAGTTTCGTTAAGTAACATCTGTTCTGTTTCACCACCAGCATCTCGACATAACAATCTAAATAATGTTCTTCCTCCAACTTCACTGTAATATAACACATAGCTTAGATTATACCCAGAATTCAACTGTTTAACATGGCGTCAACTGACATCAACGTGGTGACGTCAGCATTAAGTAGACATGCAACAATGTAATTCCACTTAAAGTAAGCGTTAAATGACGTAACTATTGCAAAGACCCTTAGATATAATTTACATTACATTGTCTATTTCTATAATTACAGGAACCACACACAACTAACAAAAACGTAGAATGATGCAGCCATAAATTGTCCCTATACAGGGAAAACCTCTTCAGAAAAAAACTTTTAACTCACCTAAATATAACAGGAGTATGACCGGGAACGCTGAAATAAGGGGAGGCTACCCCAGCTCTGTCTCCACCTCCATTTTCTGAAATATACAAATCACAATTTCTTTGAAAAATAGACACCCAGAAATGTTTGACGTAAGCCAGCAATTGATGCCATGTAAATAATCCAACACTCTTAACTGACCATGCTAATAATACGCTCTCAAATCTTTTGGTTGTGGTTTTTCGTTCAAAGAGTTAGGAGCTGTCTTCTTCAAAACTGCCACGTCTGCCAACTACACATGTAAAAGGAATAAATATGGTAAAGTTACCTTGTAATTCTTCCAGATTTGCTTTAGGCCAATGTTCTAATAAAGCTTGAAGCAGAGCTGAACCAATATTTACTACAAAATATACAAACATACATACACATTTTGATATATATTCTTAAATCTTATCCTTATTGATTCACAATATATTTCCTACTGTTTCCTACTTTATTGGACTATGAAAACAGGTCATCCTAGCCATTATGCAATTCGACAAACAGTGGCCTCAATCTGATCCAAGATCACTGACAAATGGCTAAATTAAAGCAGCATCTCTATCACTGGTGACATCTTATATCGGATCTAATTTCTGAATCAGACATTTAACAAAGACTTACTTTTAGTTTCAGGGGCATCATGTGCTCCAGGTATTCCCAGTTCCTTCATGGACATCCAGGCAGCAAAACAATCAGACTCTTCTAAATGGATGGTCAACAACTGAAATAGGGGAATCAACAACTTCATTTGAGATCTTGAGTCTTCATCAAGTCAAACGATGATTTAGACAAGTCTATGTAACAAATTCATTTGAGGTTAACTCTTGATTCAGTTTTAGTCAAGTTTCATTCAAAAACTAGGGCCACAATACCTACCCCTGTTTTCAGATCGACAGAAAACCAATTAGGTACAAACACCATTTTGAACTGTTTTTTAATTTCATCTTCAAAATCCACTCTACCTTGGTCTTCTACTTTACGAGCCTAAAATAAATACAAATCTTCAATCTCGTTTCATATTACTTGTCAATGGAGAAATTCTAGACACTACAATGATGGAGAGAACTCTTTCTATTAGTAGCTAAGCCATCATGAAGGATTGCTAGCACATTGCTTTAAATTAGTTAGAAAAGTGAAACAAGCGAACTTACGGTTAAGACATCCCATAATGCAACACAGTCGTCAGTGTCGCGTGTGAGAATATGACGTTTATCGTTGAGAACTAAATACTGGCGTATGCTGGGGCCACCTGTAAAAATAATCTTACATTTTACATATATTCATTTACATGATGCCCCACCCCTTTCCTTTTTAAGCCTTTGAACTCTGAGTGTAAATAAAATAAAATGCTATAGCCTGTACTCCAAGTGATATGATCTTTCATATGAAGCCTGTGTCATGTGACGTCACTTAGTAATGCCCTCTTCAATACTTTGGTATATATCATGTAACTATGTGGCCTGTAGAGAAGCTGTTCAAAGCAAGAGAGTCTCACAGGGCAAGGAAGCAAACCCCCCTCCCCCTCCTGGAATAAGACTAAATAGACATACCTTTAATGGTAAAATCCGGTTGTGTAAAAGCTGGAGCGTAATGTTCGTTATCGTAATCACCAGAATGTCGTGACGTGGCTGCCTTGATCGGCTGAAAAAATAAATCATATCAAAATTAAGCCTCAAACTTTGACCCACTTTCCAGATTCATTATCTTGACTAGGAACAAAGAACATAAAGGCCTGTAAACTTTCAACGCAGAGAAGACAGCTTTGTCTTCATAGGCATCTAGTCATTTAGGTTCTCATCACCACCTATCATATCAAGGGCAATAATTCTGAAGGTATACGAATAGATACATACCCAGTTTCTAATACTTGAATCTGTGGTTGCTACCCACAAACTTGGATTCTCCGTGTGAGATAGCTCCAACTGAAATAATCAACAAAATGCATCAAAATTGTATAACAAAAACCAAGAGTTTTGTCCAAACAGTTTCATAAAAACACGGCATCAGTCTCAATCATGAACAGTCTGTAGCACACGGGGCCTCAGTTTATTGTTCAATCCAAGCAACTAGCAGCATTTTCCATGTCAGTCCCCCCTGACAGCAAGATAGGACTACAGGTAGATCCACGGAATGCATACTTTTGACTCGAACCAACTTACCTTCAAAACAGGGGCCTTTTCTTCACAGATCAATGTCCTGTTGTCTGGATTTCGTATGTCTGTAGCCCAAATCTGCCTATCTCTGCCTCCAGAATAGACTGTAGTGAATGAATCGTTGGCTTGCAGAGCCCACACTCCCTCATCATGGACTCTGTACGTGGCAACACACCTCTGTTGTCCGAGATGCCACAGTCGAATGGTCCCGTCTGAACTTCCTGATAAACACTGAAGTTAAAATCATATTGATTAAATCATCTTCATTGTGGTACGGATCAACTACGGATCAACTACGGATCGACTAAAATTGGGAAAAATTTATGAAATGGTTTGTGTGTGTTGTATTCTATTGAATAAATTTCCTCTCCCCACTTCTAAGTCACTTAAGGAGTCCAATAAGAATTGACTTTACCTGAGTTCCATCTCTATTTAATACCAGAGCTTTAACATTATCAGTATGTCCCTTCAACTTCATCAGTTTCTGACAAGTCCTGGGGTCCCAAACTCTCAGAACTTTCTCTGTAGATCCTGATACCACCACGGTTCCTGGAGGATTCATAGCTAGTGAATAGATGGAATCTTTATTCCCTGCCAAACTCGATGCTGTAATGCAAAATTATTATAATAAATTTAAGGAGGTGCAGGAAGCTCATAGTTAAATTATTCCCTTCCACGAAAATTTGTGGATTCCAACCAACCCTGATGCTGCAAAGCAAAATTGAAATAATGTAAAATGATTAAATCTAGGAGCAAGTGGTAACTTTTCTTGCACAATGAGGGCACTCATAATCAAATTGTTCCTTCTGAAGAAAATCTCTGGTTTATCACAAAAGATTTACTCTTCAAATGATGAGAACCTGGGGTAGTGAATAATTTCTGCATCAGGGAGAGAGTTGCTACTAAAATGATAGAAGACTTACTAGTAACAGTGTTGTTGGAAGCCGTCAATGCTGTAAGAGTGTTGACATCCCAGAGAAATATAGCTCTATCTAACCCGGCTGACGCTACTTGTTCTCTATCTCTGGCGTAGGCCAGGGCTTTTACATAATCCTGTAAAAGAAAGAATCAAATCATTATCAGGTATATTGATTGGTCAGTGCTGTTGCAACAGTCTATTGCATTGAAAAACAATCAATTCAGCCAAGCTGTTATCACGTCTCTTTCAAAGTCAAATTGTCCAAATTGTTTTCCAGCACAGAAAGAAACTTAACCTACCTTGTGTGTTCTAAGAGTTGACATACAGAAACCTTTATGAGCGTTCCAAACTTTGACTGTGGTATCGCTAGACGCTGATATTACTGAAAAATACAACACTCACTCTTATCAGTATATTATATTTTGGCGTCAATATCGTCCTTAGATGTAATTATTAGCTTTAGTGCTGGTGACGTTATAAAACACTTGTTAGCTTAGTTGAGCTGCAAGAATCAGACGTTTGACTGAAAATTGGAATGATGGGAATAGGCATTTAAGGCAATGATATACATAAAACAGCAAGAAAAATTCTTTACAATCCTTTTGAAAGAAATGTGAAATATTAATACTTACATGTTTTTCCATTACAACATAAAACAATATCATTGACCCAATCTGTATGATGCTCCATAGATAGAATGTACGGGTCCTGAAAAATATTATGAAACACTGTAAGTTAGCTGTTGATCGTTCAAATTGATGCTATGGGTATTTCCAATGGCCATAAGACCTATTTGGAAAAACTATTAAGTAGAAAAGGTGTCAACTTTGCCTTACGGTAGGTAAATATTTAAAATGTCCATTACTTTTAATACAACTAATCAAATGCTCTGAAATTTGTAGGATTGTGTGTACTCTGTAATAACTTCTACAGGTAAAATTGAAGGATATCTGAGACAAACTGTACCTTACTGGTCCTGGTGTTCCATATTCTAATAATAGAATCTCGACCAGCTGAATATAGTCTGTTCAGTAGAGAATCAAACTGTAGAGCGTTCACACCCGATCTGTGGTGGCGTTCAACCTCATCTCGGATTACAAACGACACCTAGAAATATACAAACATCAATGTACCAAGAGGCCCAAGTTGACAATTTATACCTACATATATTGACTATTCCTTTAGGACAAAACTTCAGATTGAAAGACTGACCACTTTATACCTCTCAGAATAGTTACTTTTAACTTTTAATTTTCCAGGATCATCACTTTACCATAATGGTACAAAGTTTGTTCTGGTCCCTTCCAGCTACACACACTACAGCAAGAAGGTTGTTCAGTCAATGCATCTTCAATGTGTCAACACGTCAACAGTTACAGGGCACTTACAGCCAGTCAATAATGCAAAAAAAGGAGCAATCTATTTACAAACCTGTACTTTCTTCCTGCCTTGAGTGGTAGACGTCCTATGGGATGTCATTTTGTTAGTTTGCTTTACTTTCACTTTAGCAATTCAGATATGATTTGTAAACAAACAAACATATATCGAATAAAGTTTCAAAGCATTTTCAACGATTTCAAAATCTGCCTTATGTAAATTTGATCGCCGATCCTTGATCGCATGTGAAAATGGTTTGTCAATTATATTTCAGTGTCTTCGATCATTTTAATCGCTCCAAAACTTCATTTATTTACAAAAAAATACTCCACCGGAAGTAAATATTAGACGGTTACGTACAATTTTGTTTAGTAGCTTAACCCAAAGCGAAAGATAAATAAGGCAGTGTTATTTGAAATAAGTGTAAAAATCTTTGAAAAAGTGCAATATTTTGATTAAATATTGCTAATAGGCACATAATCAAGATATTCTGATCAGTACGAACTTTGCAGACACAGGTTCAAAGGTTATTAGGTGCCCTGTGCATTTTATTAAGCCAAGGGAGCCATTGTTAAATAGCTGCTTATATCACAAACAGGTCTAATTTACCCCCAATCATTTATTCTGTAAAAGGAATTTCTAGCACTTGGTCAATCTTGATTTTATATATTTCAAAGAATTCTTTAATTTCTGTAACCACAATAAGCTGAAGGCCATTTTATGTTGGGCTTGTGGTGCTTTCGTAAATTTAATAATTATGTATGCCAAAGGGCTTATTATTTTTAGAACCGTCAAATCCAATTCAAGCCTCATCCATACC